AGTGAATAAGTAGTGTCCGAGCCAGCTTTCATCCAACCCTGACCAATTCGCATTTACGAGCAATATTAAAGGATATACCTCCCCCACTTTAACCTGGTACATCCGAGATTTTGTTCCCTGGGCTCTTTTAAAAAAACTTAAACCCGAAAATGACGTGGAGTACCATCTCATTATTCATAAAAAAACAGGAGAACGCCTTGTTAAATCTTTCGCATTATAAAGTCGAACTTAAATAGTTTTCATTATAAATACAATAATTTCACTCCATTTTCTAAAATAATCCAAACCCCTGAATATTTTCCTTTTCTTACACGTGTGTTTTCGCCCAAGAACGGTACCTGTGCACTAAATATGGAAGATACACGGTTTTCCAAAGCACGTGTAATGAGCCTTGACAAGTTCCTCACACTCTTTAACATTTTAATAAATATTTTACTTTTAAGCCATATTAAAAAGATGTTTTTGTAATTTTAAAATTTAGAGAAGGTTATATGATGTACTTGATTTTCAAGGCCTTGAAATGGACCGAATGTTATGTCACAAAAAATGTATGAGTAGCTGACTCCCTTCTAAACCTTTTCTATTTCAACATTCAAATTTTCATTTTCATACTTTTAACCTCATGTGGTCGGTGTGGTTAAAAAAAATTAAATATCGACATATGAATTAAGAGCACGACATATTAAATGTTAGGATCAAGTTCATATGATCCGTGATTTTGACAAAGTATCGCATGGGTTTTGTCTTTTACATTTTCAAGGAACGCATCAAACGTAGTTAAATAAAACTCTTGGGACGTTCATCGCTTTCTTCTCATGATTCTCCGAAGACCATCTCCTGAGCATTTGATATGTGCGCTTCGATGATGATCACCTATATGTGTGTGGACTAGGAAATGTCGCGTCTCACCGATTCGTCGATTGCAAATTGACACTCAACACCCTAACTTTTGTTTTTTGGATTGGGGAGATTCCTAATTATATATAAAAATAAAAGAAAAGTGGAGAAGTAAATTTTTTTTAGGCTCAAGGAGAAGGAGCAACAAATTTACACGATTCATAAAAAGTATAGTTATTTCATTAATAAGGCAGTATCAATTTGAGTCTTGTTAACGGGTGTTTTCGAAATACCTGTTAAGTACGTGTTTCACATTTCATGATAGCAATTACATATAGTAAGAGAAAAGCAACACGTCATTAGGCTCCGTTTATTTAGCAGAAATTGAATGATGGAAAATATTTTCATTACCGACAACAATTTATGTCTAGATATCTAGAAAAATATTTTTTTTTCATTCATTTTTTTCGAGCGATACAAACGATCACTTTTAGGAAAATATTTTATAAATCATTCACTTTTTGCTAAATAGACAAAGTTTTTTTTTTGATAACCGGGAACCCCGCACGGCCGATAGCGGGTAAACCCTAGGGACATGCTCCACACACACGTGCCACGGGGATTCGAACGCTCAACCTTTTCGAGAGGAAGAGCGCCCGCCCCGCCTGCGGGTGGTTAAATAGACAAAGTCTTAGGGCGTGCTTGTTTCGCGAAAAATGAAAGATTTGGAAATCATTTTCCAAAAAAATAATCGCGTATATCGTTTGAAATAATCAGTCAATGAAAAATGTTTTCATTACCAATAAAAATTTATGTAAAAACATTTCATGGATGGTAAAAATATTTTTCGTTCATTTATTCTTGTAATCGATGCAAGCGATCGTTTTTAAAAAAAAATGATTTCTAAATTATTCATTTTCCGTCGAACAAACGGAACCTTAGAATCCTAAAAATTTTCTTTTCTTGTTTGTTGCCTAACAAGTGTGGAGGGCCCAAAAATCGAGACATCGTGGTCCAACCTAAATTAGTCACTATTGTACGTCCTTGGAATTCTTATTAACATTAGAACATGTAAGTTCTATCTGGAGTTAAATGGGCCAACGGGCCAATGGGCCTTCTTTCTCTTTAGCTGCTTCTCCGGCCCATCCAAAAGCCCATAACAGTAATTCTCTACCACTTTCAGGTTACTATAAGTATCGATTTCCATTTTTTTTTTCCCTTACATTTTCACTGGAAAATAGTAAAATGAGCCACGAAATGGCAACATAATCGGCTAATTTTCCTGTAGCTTATTTACATGATGTTTCTTAAATAAAAAAAATGATATTTTATTTATTAATTGATGAATAATTATCGTAGGTCAATTTCTACCGAAAATATGTTAATGTAAACTGATCGAGGGGCAACTTATATTAGAAAATGGCCGAAAGAATCTGAAGAGTTTGGACCCTGATGTCATGTAGATTGTGCCAAATTGAGGACAATGCCCAAAATGCATTTAAAAAAAAAAGTGCAATGGAGAAATTGCACCAATAGTAAAAAAAAAAAAACACGTTCGTTTCGATGTGCAATCAAAATTTAGACGTTTAAATTTGTGCAATCAAGTTCTAGACGTATTTTATTCGATGCGATTTACTCCTCCTAGCAAGCTACGGCCAAAATTGCTGACGTGGCACTGCGGAATCTGGTCTGGCTTTCCTTAGATAGTTTTTTTTACCATAAGTGGTGCCAACGTTGGGTAAATGTGGCGTCACGTCAGAAAAAAAACTAAAAGGCCAAAAAAAATTGAGAGGAGAAAAAAGGCAAAAATTTTGAAAAAAAAATAAAAAACGTCTCCGGTGAGAGACACCACCGCCGCGAGGGCTTGCTTGCTCACGGCGAAGGCTTGTTGGGCCTCACCAGAGGTGACCCTCGCCATGCGACGTGGGTGTGGTCCGCGGCCCCTAGCCCATCTAACTTTTTTTTAATAGAGTTGACATGACGCCACGTGTTATAAATGAAAATAAAAAAGGCCGCGATGGATTCAAGCATGCCACGTCAACAAATTTGCCTGTGACCTTGCCAAAAGAATTAAATTGCGCCAAATGAAAAATATTTAGGATCACATTAAAGTGAAAGTTTCCTTTTGTTCTGCTTACATGAGAAATTAAAATATATCTTATCATAAAATTTGATTCGAGGGGGGGATCAAATTCACAAAGGTTGTTAAATTAATTAAATTAAAAAAATTGCATCCATGTGTGAGGTGCACGATATAGCTTCGACTTTTTTCATACCGTGTCGGACAATCTCATAATAGGGTCACCGCTCGAAACTTGGCTCGCTCTCATATGCGTGAGGTGCACAATATGGCTTCGACTTTTTATATACCGTGTCAAACAATCCCATAATAGGGTTACTCCTCGAAACTTGGCTCGCTCTCTTATACTCTTACAAGTTCAAAATTTCATCTACATAAGATGAATTTTCCTCGTAAGGGAAACTTCCGGTGAGTGTTTCCGGTGTCGCCACGAATCAATACAAATGGAAATCTATAAAACTGTTCATTAACATATTTTGACAATATGTAGCTAACTTTTGTGCATTCAAAGTCCGCCGCAACTCCCATTCCCTCCGATTGAGATGGTCCACCATTGTCGATTCCTTCTCTCTTGTCCTCTCATAAGCAAATGATCAAGAACATGTAGCTAACTTTGGCATCCTGCTAGTGCTTGCCCTAACATTTTGACAATATGGTTCAAACTTCCTTTAGCTCCCAAATTTGCTTCATTTTCGAGTAATCCTGCCCAATCACTTACTAAATATAGTTTACTGATAAAAGTTTTAGCGTCTTTAGCATTGCTTGGCGAGACGGCACCGGCCGGATGTCGCTCGCGGGTTTCATCGAATTAGTTCTAATCGGCATGTTCCGATCGGCTGTCTCGCACCGATGCGACACCCGAGATTTTCTCACCGGATTATGGTACCAAAATAGCAAAACCACTAAGCACACGATCAATTCGATTGGACCATCCAATAAAGCCAAACATATTGAAAAGAAGGCGAACCAAAGCCATTATAAATCTTGCAATTCTTTATAACTTTGTAATTTATTTTGGCTTTTTGACCCTATATATTGTAGGGTGGAATGATCTAGGACGTAATCCTGGACGCGAAGAATAAAAAGGCCTTTCTTTTTGCTTGCTTAATTTTTCAATGTTCTTACTTAGGATTTTATCTATGGTACATCCGTATAAAATAAAGGAAATGTTTTGCCGGTCTGGAAATGGAGAACACAAGTAAAATACATACAAAAATTTAAAAAAGAAGATAATTTTAAACAGGAGAATAATGCACTGAGAGATTGTACAACATCATCTCTCTTGACGAGAAAATTGTCTAAAAAGTCATAAATTTATTGTACGATGACCGATTTAATTCTAAACTTTTCTATTTGGTCGATTTATTTCTAAACCTTTTAATGATTTTTCAATATAGTCCATTCGGCAAATTTTGGGAGTGCCAGGCCTCAGTGACTGGTAGAGGGAATTACGAATAAAAAGAAAAAAAATTAGAGAATTTTAAAAAAAAATTACAAAATCCGTCTATGTCGGCACCGGCCGTGTCACGTAGAACAAACGGCGTCTACGTCCACGATTTCAGGCCACAAATAGGCCGGAAGGACTACATTAGAAAAATATCAAAATATTTAGGACTTAATTGATCAAATTATTAAATTAAGGACTGAATTGGCCGTCGTACATACGTTCAGGATTTTTTTGAACAATTATCCCCCTCTCTCGACATACCTTGACATATGAAGAATCTCTTTTTCCCGTATAATATAAATTTTAAAAAAAAAAGGGACCTTTTCCCTCCACCTTTCCGTTTCGCCTCCATTGGGTCTCAAAAGTTTCTCTCCACATCAAAGAACAATTCCGTGATAAAAAATGGACTAGAAAAGGCCCACTTTCTATCTTCATCACAACTTTTTTTTTTCCATTCTTGGTCGGACTTTGCCGCGAGGCGAAAGTCGAAGATCTGGACTCGGATCGGCTGCCACGATCGATCCCGTCGCTCCTGTAGTCCAAAACAATCGAAAGATTACACGACTCGAGAACCGTATTTTAGGGCAAAAAATCCCACTAATTGCATATTTTCTCTACCAAATAACGAATTAAACACGAAGGTGGCTGGAAATGATGTAGCCCCCTGCCAATAATAAGAAAGGAACGTGCCTAATTCCTATATTGAAACGGATGTCGTCATACGGCCAGGGACTATTTCGCAAATACGCAAAAGTACAGGGACTAAGACCGCGAAATTTGAAAATTCCCGGGGAGCGGACCAAATGGTCTGCCAACGCCTGTGCCGAACATCGTATAAAGAGAGAAGGGAGGATCGACGACGCTTTCGGTATTGGTCCGTGACAACACCATGGACTCATTGCCCGAACACTGCGTCTCCGCCATCCTCGCCCTCACGTCCCCTGAAGACGCGTGCCGCCTCGCCCCGGCGTCGTCGACCTTCCGATCCGCCGCCCGGTCCGACGTCGTCTGGGGCGGGTTCTTGCCGCCCGACTGCGGCGCGGTGCTGTCGAGGCTGGCGAGGCGGCCGGAGTTCGGTTCCAAGAAGGAGCTCTTCCTCAGCTTGTGCCAGCCTCAGCTCATTGATTCCGGGAGAAAGGTGATCGGAACTTTCGTGGGTTTCCCCTTTTTCTTTGTTGTTTCGATGAGAGAATTCGAGGATCTGAAGAGCTGCTTCTGAAATTTTGCTTGTTTGCTTAAAAACAGAGCTTCAAGCTGGAGAGATCGTCTGGGAAGATATCGTATGTGCTGTCTGCGAGGGAGCTTTCCATAGCATGGAGCGATGAACCCATGTATTGGAACTGGAAATCTGCGCCCGATTCGAGGTTTGCTACTTCGTTGATCATCATTCGTCATTCGCTGAACGCGAAAGTTTGAAAGAAGAGCATCTTTTTCAATGCCAGATTTGAGGAAGTGGCAGAGCTCAGAACAACAGATTGGCTAGAGATCGAAGGCCGAATGCCCACGGCAATGCTATCCCCGAACACCCTCTACGAAGCCTATCTCATCATGAAGATCTCTCACCGCGCGTATGGGCTGGATGTGATGCCATCCCAAGTGTCCATCGAATTGAAAAACCAGGTAGTGTCCAAAAGCACAGCAATTCTGCATCGGAGCCATCGCGACGGCATCCACAAGCAAAGACCCGGCATTTTCGGCACGAACGGAGCGGCCGGAGGCGAAGAATGGAAAGTCCCGATCGGAAGACAAGACGGGTGGATGGAGGTTGAGCTCGGGGAGTTCTTCAACGGCGGAGGAGGCGGCGGCGACGATCACCGTGAGGTGGTGAAGATGAGCTTCAAGGAGGTGAAGGGGTATCAGCTGAAGGGAGGGCTTGTCATCGAAGGCATTGAAGTGAGGCCCAAAAGAATTGCCTGAAAAAAGATCATATCAAACAGTTGCAAGGATGATCATCAAGGTTGTCCGTTTTCTTCGCCCAAATTGTCTTGTCTTGTCTTTTTTCCTTTTCTTTCCTTTTTTTGTCGGACAAACGTTGTGCATTTTGGTGCTTTTTGATAATTTTTTTTGCAGGGTATTTTTATTATTCATTTCATGAGATGTGAATGTCGACATTATGAATAAAATGTGTATATATATTTATATCTATTTGTGTATGCAAGTAGCTAAATGTCAACCGGTCTAAAGAGCTCATCGATTCGATTTGGCTCCTTATGAGATGAGCACTTAGAAAGGTAAGAGAGTCTCCATCAAGCAGACCTGTTTCCCTGGTCTAAAAGAAGCTTGCATGCAAAATCCAAAGGGGTCACGATCAAAAATCACATCTTTATCACCTAATTGAAATGGGCCGCCTCAGGTGAAAAAAGTCAAATACAAGAGCTTAAAAAAAATAAAAAATAGACGATGAGTTTGAGGATTGACCATTTGATTTGAATAAAATACTAATTTCATTGAAGTAGATTCATCAAGAAATATCTCTTTGAGCCGACAACTATAGATATTGTAAATAATAGAGAGTAAAGATAAATAAGCACACGTGTGTGGATTAGAGAAGCGTGAAGAGCATTAAGTTTGGTATTTTTATTGTTTTGTATTTTAATTTATTTGGAGCGTTAAGTTGAGATAGAGAAAAAGGAAACCCATCATTGCGTAGAAAAATTTAACGATATCACAGTCTAGTTTGATTTGAGTGTATAAGAAAGCCTTTTGTAGTACGCATGTTAGTGTCGTGTTAAGATTATTAAGGACTTGTATTGATGTGATCCCGCATGCAAAAATATTTAAATTCGTTATGTACATTGGAATTGCTATAACAAAATGTTGGATGGAAAACGTAAAGCATTGTCTTCCGAGTAGTCGAAAGCATTTTCGAAAACGAAATAAAATTAACAAATACATCATTAGAATTCACATATAATATTGCACATAGGGTATTATTATTGCATTGATTATGACCTCCAACTTAGAATTCATTGGCTTTCGTGAGTTTGGGAAAAGTATAAGACCTATCATAAACACATTGTATTGGTACTAATTCAGTATCAATTCAGTTCTAAACCTTAAAATTGGACCAATTTAATTCTTATCCTTTTGCATTTGTGCCAATTGAGTCTATTTAGCCAATTTTGGCAAAAAATTGTTGACATGGACGCCGACCATCCTATGAGGCATGACTGGCGTTGACGTGGACAAAGTTGACAACGGCCCTCACCAGATCTGGCAAGGGCTCGACCCTTGTGGCCGGGCGAGGGCCGCGACCCTTGCCAATGATCGGCCACGAAGGAAAAAAAAAGAAAATAATAAAAAAATTAAAAAAAGGCCCGTGCTATTTTCACTTCTTTATTAACTCTTGACACTCCTTTATCATATTGAACTGACTACATTATCCCTTGCGGGTCCTACTTTTGATTTGAAACGATTGCTTGCCTTTTTTTTCTTCATTTTTTTTTGTTTCGATTTTTCTAGAGACGAAACTATCCATGCTCCTATTAAACGACATCTACTAAGGTTAAATGTGGGGCCCACCCCTTGATTTAAGATAATTTCTTGTCTTCTTTTATTCTGTTTTTTGGTTTTTTCCTTTTGTTTCTCCATTTGGAACAAAATTGGTGTTACTCTTTTCTAAAAAATAGTTTATTTAGTAGATAGCTAACTAATTATTATGTTTTCGACCAAAAAAAACTAATTATTATGTTAATGAGCTGTACATTCTATTTTTTTTGTACTAGGAAACTAATATTTAAAAAATAACCTAAGCACAAATATGAGTAAAAAGAACCATTTACCAGTTTTTAGTGCGCATTTCGTTTAATTATAAGTTTAATATGTGTCATTACTATATAGTTTATGTATTTCAACTGCTTTACTTTCATTTTATTAAGTGAACCTAGTAGTCCAATTTTGAATTATTTTTTATGCCATCATCGCATAATGTTTTAAAAGATACTTTCAAAAAAAAATATGACAAAGTTAAGTACATAAAACATTCTAAACATCCATTATTATCATGCAAAGGTAAAGAAAATGCTCCCTAAATCATTATTACATATAGTACTATCTTTGTCCTGATTACATGGTATAATTAGCTGTTGACAAGAATTATGGCAATTGTAATGGCATTATATAAGACAACCCATTCAAACCATTTGCAAACACATTTTTTTTGTCAATTCTAAATGCATCAAAATTTTCATAGAATCATCAATGAAAATAAAATTATCCTCAAAATGCAAATGTAGTGTAATACTAAGAAGTTGCATATGCAACTTAACAAAAGATATTGTTCGTGGCTTCTGTAAAAAAGGTTACTCTCTCGGAAAAAAATATTTTACTTGAATCAGACAATAAAAGTTTTTAATTACATCAATAAGAGAGTCATTATTCACTTAATGCAATATATATCAAGGAATCATATTCAATGCTATAGTGCGAGAATCTCCAAATGAACTTGTCGACATGATTGATTGCCGTTCTCCATTCGCAGTTTCATCATCAATAGATACATTTAAGCAATTTGGGTCATCTTCAATATTGTCTTCCATAAAAAAAAAAATGAAAGATGAGTAAATTGTGTATAATGCATTCACTAACCACAATATTCAATCTTTGAGTAAATTCTTGTAAATTTGTACCGAAAATTGAAGTCGAAAAATTCACGATTATGAGAATTACCTGGGGAAGTAAAGATAATTATTGGCGGAATAAGTTTAGAAGAAGACAAATATGAATGAAAAACTTTAAAATGTAATGGGTGTCGAAGAAGCGGCTAGCGTGAAAAAAGTTATTTGAAAGTGACGTGGATAATTTTGTCTTTCAATAAAATTGAAACAAAAGAAAAAGAAGAAAAACTGTAAGAAATAATCTTAAATCAAAAGTGAGACCAACAATAAATAATGTAGTCATAAGGGAGTGTTTGGAGCCAATAAGGAGGTGGAAATAGCGCGAGCATAAAAAAATTATAAAATTTATCTACGTCAGCGTCGGTCGTGCCACTTAAGATGCCCGACATCTATGTCAGTAATATCCTGACAAAATTGGCCGGATAGATTCAATTGGCATAAATGCAAAAGGTTTATGACTGAATTGATACCGATACACAAGATTCATAACTTTTTTGGTACTTTCCCCTCACGAGTTTCATGACAAATGTGACCATCTACTCGCTTGACTCAATATGCAAGGCCTTATACAAGATTCTTACACATATTTGTAATGGATGAAGGGCAAAAAGGTAGGTGCTACGCAAAGATTCTCACCTACTTTTCATATTGAAATTGTACAGTTATAGTGTACCATCTAATTGAAAAGGGTCGTCTCAGCTGAAAAAGTAAAATACAAGAACTACAACAAAAAAGAGGATGAGTTTGAGGATTGACCATTTCAATTGAATAAAATACTAATTTCATTGAAGTAGATTTATCAAGAAATATCTCTTTTTCTAATTTGCTTTGAGCCGACAACTATAGATATTGTAAATAATAGAGAGTAAAGCTAAGTAAGCACGCTTATACGTAAAAGAGAAGCATGGAAAGCATTAGGTTTAGAATTTTGTTTGTTTGTTTTTATTTTTTTTATTTGATTTAGAGCGTTAATTTGAGATAGAGAAAAAGGAAACCCATCAAGGCATAGTAAATTTTACCGATATCATCGTCTAGTTCGATTCAAGTACATAAGAAAGAGTTTCGTGATACACACCGTGTTAAGATGATCAAGATTGATATGATTCCATATGCAAAAATATCTAAGTTCGTTACGTACAGTGGACTGGCTATAACGAAATGTTGGATGGAAAACATAAAAAACTATCTTTCAGTTAATGGAAAGCATTTTTGAAAAATAAAATAAAATTAGCTAATACATCATTAGAATTCACATAAAATATTGCGCATAGGATATTATGATTGCATTGATTATGGCTTCCAACTTAGAAATTCATTGGCTTTCATGAGTTTCATGACAAATAGGACCATTTACTTGCTTGACTCACTATGCAAGGCCTTACACAAGATTCTTGCCAACATTTGAAAAGGACGAAGGGCAAAAAGGTAGGTGCTGCGCAAAGATTCTCACCTATTTTTCATATTAAAAAATTGTACAATTATAGTGTATGCCGAATCTAAAGTTGTGATAGCAATTTGGCCAATGTTGCGAAAGTTTAGGGAGCTATATCCTACCAAACATGAATGATAATTTGGCCATTTGATAGATGACCCGAAAGTAAAAGAGTTCAATGGGGGACTACTCTAGCATCCACCGAACAAAAGCCATCGCGATATGTCTCTGGGACCCTGTGAAGTGTGCAATGTGGACCACGTATTATGATATTTCTCGTCTTGAATCTCAAATAGTAGATGCCTTATCATTGAGCAATTAAGAGAAATGAGGGAAAAGTGTCAAAAAAGTCATAAACCTTTTGCATTGATGCCAATTTAATCCTAAACCTTTTTTTTTATATCAATTCAGTCATAAACCTTTTGTCTTTGTGCCAATTCAGTCATTCCGGCTAATTTTGGCTTGATTTTACTGACGTGGATGCTGGCTGACCTACGTGGCACCGCTGACGATGACATGGATAACTTTTAACAATATTTTAATATTTTTCGAATTTTTGTATTTATTTTTAAAAAAATTCTTTTTTTTTCTTTTTCATTCCTTTTCTTCTTCCTCCAGCCGGTCGCCGAGCTAGAGGCCAGGGTCAGCGAACCCGCCGGCCTCTGGCGAGCCTTGCCCCACCCCGTCCCGCGGCCACTGGCAAGGGCGACAATGCTTGACCTTCACCGGATGGCCGCGAGGGTGGCCTTGCGCTAGGCTGGGCAAGGCTCGCCCTCGCCGGATTTGGAGAGGGTTGAGCCTCGTCGGCCATGGGGGAGGCCCGACCCCGCCAGATTCGATGAGGTCGTGCCTCGCCCAGCCCAGCTCGAGGCTAACCTCGCGGCCATCCGGCGAGGGCTCGAGGCTCGTGCTGGGCTGGGTGAGGCTCGCCCTCGCTGGATCTAGCGAGGGTCGAGGCTCGCCGGCCATGGGTGAGGCCCGACCTTGCCAGATCCGAGCTCGACCCTCGCCAGATCCAGCGAGGTCGTGCCTCGCCCA